ATATATTTGCATATGTACATGCCTGTATCTAGACCTCTATAAATGCCCTTTGAGGCAGTTTTATCTTTATTTTATCCCATTAGCAAATCTAGATTCTAATATTATGAAAAGATGTGTGTGCACCCTCTCACACACACATCAAAGCAACAAACAGAAAATAATTTCCACAAACTGCAGGGTTAATCCAGTTCACAGGGAAAGTTGGTTTTATTTTTGTTGTTTTACTTTTCATTGTGAATTGTGTGAAACTTTACGAAGCAAATCAGTTTTCCATGCAGCCATAATGCATACACGTTTCAAGGGATGGATTGCAATCCCCACTTCTCCCCTGTGTTAACCATGTCCATGACTCCTTCCCTAATCTTTCCAGCCATCTGAACTTTGTCCTTTTAGTCTAAAATGTTTGTTCTAAGTAGTGCCTACATTCCCAGTGCTACTATTCCCTTTACTGTTGTTGTTAGGTGCCATTGGGTTGGCTTCCACGAATACCATCCCTCTGTACAAGACAATGAAACACTGTCGGGTCCTGTGCTGTCCTTACAACTGTTAAGCTGGATTGCATCGCTGCAGCCACCAGATCCACCTTACCGAGGGACTTCCTCTTTTTTGCTGACCTTTGACTTTGCCAAACACAATGTCCTTCTCCAGGCCTATCTCTGTGATAACATGCCCAACGTACGTGAGACGAATTCTCACCTCCCTCATTTCCCAGGAGGATGCTGGCTATCCATCTTCCAAGATGGATTTGTTTGCTGTGGCAGTCCACAGTACAGTGCTCTCAATATTCTTCACTAAGACCATAGTTCAAATGTGTCTTCTTCACTCTTCCCTGTTCAATGTCTACTTCAATGTCACGCAGCTGAGGTGATTGAAGACACCCTGGGCTGGGTCGGGGGCAACTCGGGCCGCAGCTTGATATCCTTGTTCTTCAATATCTGAAAGAAGTCTTTTGCAGCATATTTGCCTAATTCAATGCATCGTCTGAGTTCTTGACTGCTGCTTTTGTGAGCTTGGATCCAAGTAAAACGAAATCCTTGACAACTTTACATTTTTCTCTTTGAAGCTCTTTAAGTTCCCCTTAGAGACCTCTTTATTGTTTTACTGAAAATTGAGCCATAGGGGTGAGTTCAGTTCTAGGTCTGAAGAATTTCTACCCCTATGTCTCACCAGTAAGCCTAGTTGTTTTTATAATTTTGAATTTTGTTTCAGAATTTTTCCCCCACTCTAGCCCTTTCAGAGCAGTTGATAGTAGTAGCCAGGTGCTATCTGGTACTTCTGGTCTCAGGGAAGTTTCCATCAACTGTTTGTTCGGTAGACTAGCTGCTGCTTTGACAGATACCATTTCTTTTTGCCAAAGACTTGGAGAAAACCAGGCAGACTGGCCTTCAGAGGGAGCACGTGGAGAGATTCTCCCACATGACTTGTCCCCAGGCAACAATAGCACTTTAACTTTGCTGCCTCTCTTGCCTAAGCAGCAGCTACCTGGAAGAAAAGTGGGTGATCTAAATAACTATTTTCGAATCTACCACCAAGTAAATCCTGGCTGATGGGAAGTAAAACGTGGATGGGTACTTTACTCCTTATGGATCTAAAAGACAAGATCTTAAAGTCCTTGACTAATCAAAGCTTGTTTCGAGTTTATCCAGGAGCTCCTCAGAAGAAAGGTCTGACGAGCTACTTCTGAAAACTCAGCTTTGAAAGCCTTATAGAGCACCGTTCTACCTTGATGCATATGGGCCTTCTGAGTCAATATTATTCTTAAGAAAAAAGAGGAACAAAGATTAGTGATACTTGATACTTCCAGTCCATCCACCCCTAAAAAAACAACTTCAGCCAAGTACACACTAAACTTCTCCCTTGTTCTGAAAAACCATTCACTGCTAATTGGGCAGGGAAGGGAGGGTGAGAAATCAAGCGCTTGTGTAGCTAGAAACACATAATCTTTAGAAACGAGGATGCCCCTTGCCCCCACCAAGAGATCTGCCTTTCAAAAGTAGGCTGTATTTGTTCTGATGCTATTCATGCCTAATTACAGAAGAAACTCACTTGTATGGTTAGAAAGCATGTTTTTACACAATAAGGAAAAAAGAAAAGGTCTAAGTAGAACCTTTGCTTTTGACAGGATTGCTTCATCTAAAGAATTTTAATGACAAAAAGCAAAAACAAAAGCTCTGGAAAATTCACTGGAATTACAAAAGTTCTATTACAGAAAAATCCCCAAGCATTAGGTGAAGCTAAAACAAGGCACCATTAAAACTGTTTCATGTGTTGGACTTGGGCTTATGAAAAAAATTAATTGTTGAGGTAAAGATACTTTTAAATGCACTAGCCAGAAAATGTGACTCAGACATTGGCACAGTCCAACGTGCTTGGCATGGATCTTTTCTACTCAAAAGAGAGTTAACGACTTCACTTTCAGCGTAAGCACATATATCACTCTTAATCTAAGGAGAAACTTACATTTCTACATGGAAGGTCATCGGTATTATTTTCCTTAGAAAATTTATTTAAGAATACAAGTATGAGGCAATCTAAGGGAATAATTGTCTGTCTCTTTGTTTTTTCTTCTCCATATGAAAACATTTATTAAAATATCTAAGTTCAGAGTAATTTAACTATTGAAATTATAATGTCCCTGAAGTATTGATTGAGCTTAATTTAGTCACATAAGTTTCAAGCCATTCAAAGTCCTATTTTTCTATTGAAACAAAGACAAAGCTGTTATTGTACCATCTGGTTTGCATAAAGAATCTCTTGGCATTTCTTAGCCACACTTTTTATAAATGCTAAATTCCAGATGGCATTAAATTATTACAGTGGAAAGCTTTTATAAAGGCCTTCAAAAACAAATTCTGTAAAATTTGAATATTAGAGAATCTAAGCAGAGGCTGTGAATTTAAATGATACATTTGAATCAACTGGATAAATATCCCTTTTTCTCTTATGCCTTTTCCCTTCCTATTTATTATTGATTCTGTGGCTTGATGATTCCAAAATCTACAGTCATATACCTCTCTGACCTGTATCTTTCATAAAAGTTGTAAAAACAATGATCAATGGAAAATCAATATTAGCTGCCTTTTGTTTCAAAATATAAGGTACGGTTATTACCCTTTAGTAGATCATCAAATAATATCAAAACCACTAAGCTCTCTTGAAGCATTTATTTGAACTTGGCAGACAGGTAAATATAAACATTAAGCAGCATCTCAAGATAAAGCCAGAGTAATGGTCGCTAACACGGGTTCTAAAGTCAGAGACCACCACTTGTCTGCCTGTCTGTTGTACATGGTGGCTTGCATGTTGCTTTGATGGTGGAAGCTCTGTCATTAGTGTTGCCATGATAAACAGGTTATAGCAAACCTGCCAGACTAAGCATACACTATGAAAAAGGAAGAGTCTGGTCAGTTCTGAGAAGCAGAGTCAACTATAATGATGTCGTGGGAGTAAAGCTTTCCATATCTTCATTTACTGATGGGACA